TTTTTTTTGTGGGAATATATATGTGTTTGTTTTTCGCCCCCCGTCTTGCTGCACCCCCTGGGGTGTGGTGCAGGGCGGGGGATGCCTGGTCGGCGGGAACCCGGCACGGAACCCTCCGGCGTTGTAGGCGGGTGTGGGAAGCGTTCCCCGTTCTCCTTTTATTTTATTTTGATCGGTCTCCTCGACGCTCTTTCTCGTTTGGTGCGGTAGCTGGTCTTTCTATCATTTTGTGTCTCTTCCGAGTGGTTTTTGTACCCTATTTTTTTCTGTTTCTTCGTGGGGTCGTGTATGCCGGGTTTTGAGACCACGGGCTCCCAATCTCAATTTTTTTTTAGAGCTAATGTGAGAAACAACAACAACAAACAACTACAGAGCACGTGACGCTTGGAACACTTCCACGGGGTAAAAAAAAAAAAAGACTTTCCAGCCACAAATATCTTTCTTGTTCGCTGTTCGCAATATCGATCTCCGAAGGGATAGTTGTTGTTGATTATCGACTCTCGATAACTTCTAAATGCAGCAGGTGCCGTGTCTGGGTATTGATTTGTACATACGTCGTAGTCTGGAGGAGTCGGTGGAAAGTTACAGTTTTAACCACACACGACCGCCCCCTGTTTGGGATAGGCGTGTAGTTCGACTTACAGTGTCCGCTTTTTTTTTTTTTCGTCGTCGCTCTTCGGCGCTCCCCGTATTCACTCATACAAATTTGTTCGGCGCAGCAATATGCTTATCGCTAAACATCTGACGTACACTTGTGGTTGAATGACACCCCCATCGCCTGCAGTATTAGATATCTGCCGCCTACCTGGTGGTTTTGGTTAATGCGTTAGGGATTCACAAGGTCTACTGCCCTTGCAGGAATGTTGAGTACAAGTATAGAGCATGCCCACCGTTCGTGCAGCGTCTCTTTTAGATATACTAGGTACTATTTTTCGTTTTTGAGCTCGTTCGTCATGTAAGTAAACAATTCTGTCGAGCCCGCCCGACAACAGGACGTCTGCATCCTCTGTCCCCTGTCTGCTGCACGAGGATTGAGAACCGTGACATGAACTCGTTTCTGGGGTCTTGCCAGAGTGGACGCCTCATTTCTGACAGATCCGCCACGTTTTGCTTTGGATTTGTTCTACCGCAGGACTGGGATGGGCGGTAAGACGGCGGGCAAGAAACACAAGGTCGGCAAGGGCGGCAAGGGCGGCAAAGCTGGAAAGGGTGGCAAGAAGGCCAAGAAGAGCGACGACATGAACGCCATGATCATCCAGGCGGCCTTCAAGAAGTACAAGGTAAGGGCAAGCTGTAGCGAGTCACAAGCGCCCGCCACAAGCTCAGGTTTCGTTTCCAAGAGGTTCTGTTGCGGCTGCTGTGTGGGGATACACTGGTGTCGTTGAGCCCAAGCTGTGGTAGGTGCCTCTGGGGCGTGTTGTTAGTCCTGACATTCAAACAGGGAGAAAATGAAATGCCCTGTTTCTTATTTCATGTCGATGTAGTGTATCCATACTGCTGTACCCGATGGGACACTTTCTGAATTCGGACAGGAAGTACGGGACGTTTCAACGCGCTTCAGCGCCGGCTGTAAGAAGATGAGGCCAACTAGTGGAATCATGATTGTTTAATGTACGAATGCGTTGACGGAAATCGTGAGAGCAGGCGGTGGTACGTTAGTCGTCAACCCGCACCCTCAGTAGAAGAGGGCCTCGGAAGTACGCATTCAAGAATGGCCGTGGATAGCAGCTTCCAGATTGTTTACTCGCGCTCTTAATCCTGCTATTACGATCAACCACCGACTTTTTCGATGGACACAAACGATCTGATGCCAGTGGCACATGAACGGGTAGAAGGCGCGCGAAGCTGGCGTGTGCAAATATCGTTTGATCATGACAGCGGAGTCTCGATTTGCCATTCTGCGCTGGTTCCCACATGATTTGTGTTGAATTTTTTTCAAGAAATAACTACAGTAGTTGAGAACTCGAAGATGGAATCCTGTTGCCCAACGACTTGCCTGACTCACGCTTGCTTTTGTCGCCCCATGGTACACCGCCATTCTTTGAAAACAGGAATACCAGAACAAGAACTAATGCCTGATGTAACTGGCCGTCATCCATGAGCCACGGACATCTGTCACGCTCGTCGAAAGAGGGGAGGAGAGGCATTCGGTCACCGCGTTTCTTCTTGTTCCGTGAAAGGCAACCCCTCTCACCCTGACAACTTGGCGTGTGGCGAGCGTTTCCGTTGCCACTCCGGACCCTCTGCGAGGCTTGGAGTTGGGGCGTGTCAATAGATGTACTAGTGCTGAAATTCCAAATCTGGTCAATTAGATGCACTTGACCGAGGTGGTGCGTGAGACATAAAGAGTCCGTTTTGGGGGGTTAGCTTCAGTGTAGTGCAGAGAAAAAAGTTTGTGTGCTTGTTGTTGCCTGCAATCGCGCGTGACGTGAGCGCGTCTGCGTAGGTCTTCCGTGCCGTATACGCCGGAATAGGGTAGTGTTTCCACTGAAGGAGCCTAGTTGTTTTCTTGTGCATTGTGCGCAATGCTCCTTCGTTTTGTCGCTGTTGGAAGATGAGCGAGCGAGAGAGTGCTGCTTGCGGAGGAAGCTCTACGCAGTACCATACATACCCCGGGTCTGGTTGTGGGCTGAAGAGTTTGTTGTTCCAGGCATGTGTGATTTCGCCTTTGTTGTCTCGGTCTTGAGGTCTATCCATGTCGGCCATAGGTGCATGTTTCAAATGGGCGGATCACTCGGAATGCCCTCCAGTCTAGATATCCACGCTACGGAGCTCGGGTTGCGCAGGAAGGGCTTTCGATAATTTTAACCTTTTTTTTTTGTTTCCGTGAAATGAATGAATGTACAGCCCAGGTTCAACTTTGTTTTTGGCTGGTATCCTTGAAGCAAGGCGCTCCTTCTACAGGATGACTTGTTCCGATCGTTGTTCCTTCGAAGGCCGCACTGAAATAGCTTTTCTCTTACTTCAAAGTGTGTTGTTCCCGGCTGGCATCTGGTGCTGCTGTTTTGAGGCAAAGTAATGTGTGTTACCCCGTTGTTTCCTTAGTGATGGCGTGTCAGGCCAGGTCTCCGTTACCTGCTAGCCTTGCTTGCAACGTTTCTCCGTCGTCCTTTGGATTTTCGTACCCGGGTATCCAGACCCTTCATTTGCCGCGTCCTTGCTCGTCGTCCGTGTGTGATTGTGTGTTCTGTGTTAACCCAACTCGTGTGGGATGTGCGCAAAAACGGTGCGTGCTGACCGTTCGTTGTGATCTGCTGCTTGTTGCGACAAGCGGGCGCACTCCTTTTAGCCTTTTTTGCATCGTTCCGTCCTAGATGAAGTAGGTCTGGTGCGCTGAGTTTTCGCAGTCGACATTAATTGCGCAGCGCGACTCGTACTTACTTTACTTGCGCGCAAGTCTACGTGCCTGTTCAACCCCACCCTCGAGGAAGCGCTTTATTTGTTCCATTAGTTTAGTATGCAGAGATGTCAGTAGGCAATAGGCAGTGGAAACACCCGCGTGGGCTCATCGTGCATTTTTCATTCAAAGTGTAGAAGTTGTTTTGGTCTCGGGTTGTTCGTGGTTAGTTGCGGTCAAGATGCCTATACTTTCTGCAGTGGGGTGTAGGGCGTAGGCCGTGGTCACAAAGAACCGATTCTACGAAGAAGGTCCATTAAAAATGAAACGGGTGGTTGCCGACAGGGAGAATCTGCGCTTGCTTATTGGACGCATTTGAAGTGCTGCTGTCCAAAGTATACGTACGAGCCACTACTTCAACTCACGCCAGAGCGCTCTGCATCTACAATGTTGGGTTTGCTGGAAGGAAGGCAATCAGACCTCGTGAGATTTGGAATATCTTGGAAAAATCTAGGGGTTCCACCTTCAAAACGCACGAACAAAACGTTTGGAATTACGCGTTTCAGAAAGTTTCAGTCGCTTCTTCTGCAATCAGCTCTCTGCAATCGGGCTAATTGTCACGGCAGATTCGTGCAGGACACCCGGGGCGCCAATCGAGGAGCAGAGCGTGTTTCAGGGGAGCGTTCATTGATAATCAGGTATTAAAACCAAGCAGACCACGGATGGTACCCTCGAGGTACCGAGATGACGTTACTCTACCGGTTGTCTATAGTGCAGCATTGCACAGCAGTTCAACAGCAAAAATCGCACATGAACAACGAGTGATTGAAATACTTGACAATAACTCATCGGGGTATTACTGTATGAGCAAGCCACCACCGCTGTGCAAAACGGGTACTCCTGCCGCGTGACTGCGGAATATACACCACAACGAAAGGTTGGAGTGGCCTCATACACACAACCGCCGACGACTTCCGCGGGGAAAGCAGAGCTGTTCTTAAACCTGAAATTCCGGAGCTGTCCTGTGATTTTTTGTTCTTTTCTCGACTTTCGTAACGGCGGAACCACCGACGGCATCAAAAAAATAAAAATTCTCAGACAAGTTCCTCTCATCACCTCTCACACTCTCGGTATCTCCCGCATTTACCATCTACAGCAGTGCTCACCAGTCCGCAGATAACTTTGCCGTGTAAGCTAAGCGAAAACCAGCGCAGCAACTACTCGGTCAACGCACTCACCAGAATCATTTATGGCTTCAACGTCTGGCGAAGCGGAGGAATATGCGTACGAGTCGTCGGATATCACAGGTAAATAAGCAGTGCAAGTTTTTCTTCCCCTTCCCGTCAAGACTACACTACAGACCTAACGTGCCGTAGAGGCTTCTTCGAGCACCTCCTTAAAAACCTGCACACCGACAACGCTCCTCGTTTTCTCGCGCTCTCGCAGAGTTGTTCGCTCCGCCTGTTTGCTATGCATGTGTGGCTCTGCGCGGTCGGCGTGCATGTTCTCATACCCCAACGCTGTGCATGGTACACGGCAGGAGCTGCCTTTTTACCGTACCACGCGCGTGAAACTACAATAATGTGGAGTTGGTAAAATAAATGCGAACTGCTTGCTGTTCGTGTGTGTTGCGGCTGCTGATGGTGATGATGCTGCTGATAGTGCTGCTGCTGCTGCTGCTGGCACACCACGCTACATCCAGCCTATGTATTCGCTCATGCGTAGCGTGTGCTTTCGCCAGAACACACGCACTTGGCACAATGCCTCTGTTTGCGAGTAGACTCCCGTATGATACATCACTGCTCTACGTGACGCAGGCTTCTTTGTAGTGTCAATGTTGCAACCATCGCCATTCCCGCGTGCTCGCCGGCAGGCGTCCGTCGAGCCCCAGCGTGTATGTAGATGACACCTTCTCTGATATTCTCCGCACCTAATGAATGCAAAGTGGCCTGCTAATGCGACCACGCGACCACCATCACCATCCATACATGAACGGGTCGAAACAACCCCGTCTTGTGCGCCGCAGCTTGGACCGTAACGCAACACGCGTAGTAGTCCACGCATGGCACAAGAATACAAGAACCCCGACGAATCCATCTCGCCGGTCATTTCGGTCGCAGGTGCCATGCAGTGTCGTAACGTCCGGTTTATCCCCCGCCGAGACATTGGCTTATGTTCGTCGACTATGTGGGTATATTTCGAGCGGGCAGTAGTCTTTCTGTGTTTATATTTATTGTTCCTATTGTTGGTTTTGGGGAACACAGGCCGGGAGTCGCAAAACTCTGCAGAGTAAATTCGTGCACACTATTTGAAGTAAGGTACCACAGACAGCAGCAGAGTTGTCGTGTGTGTACACCACAGTTGACGCGCAATACTTGTAGATTGAAACTATGCGTAACATCAAAGGAGCGCCCCAAGATCAAATTTCCCCGTGGGAAGGTGTGTCGGAAGTGGAAATCGTGCATATGATGAATATGATCTGTAGTCTCAAGTCTTCACATCGACCGTTGAGAGGGAAACTCGTTGAACCTCAGGCGGCGGCTCTACAAAAGAAGGCGTTTCACTCATCAGTTGTTGTGACATCCAAGTTTTGTGTGTACAGGTATACTTCTACTACTGCTGTATCTGTGCCCGGGATGCAACACCCGAGATTCTTCATGTTTCCGTAGCGATTCGGTCGGAAGGTTGGTAGTGATGCCACATGATGAGTACTTTAAGCCGCGTGAAGGCACAAACAGCATGTTCCATCCACCCGCTTGCGGCTTGGGTACGAACTTCCGAAGGTTGTTGGGGTGTCCATGTATGGAGGTGCGGCAAATGTGCGTTATATGCTGTCAAGTACGCAAGTTAGCACGCCTACATTTTTGGTGCATATGACAGGGGGCATGCACCGTCGTGAGTGATTGCAGCTTGTCAGGGTGTGCATGCATGTGCTCATTCGATAATTTATCATGTTCGCATGCCTACCACGAGCAGATACTTGTTGGAAGGTGAAATGGTTGGAAAATAGGCATGCCGTCAGGAGTCAGGAGTTGGAGGCACGCAAAAGGACAAGACCTAGACTTGACCCCCACTGGAACACTAGCGCCGCCTGCGCTGCACTCTTAGCTTGCATTGGGGTTTTCATTGTGCTCAATGCAGAAGCAACCACTGCGCTTGTCGTCGTCCGCGTCTTTTCCTCCCCAGGTTCGGATGAAGATTTGCCGTCGAGCAACTCCAAGAAGGGAAAAGACAAGAAGGGAAACGACAAGAAGGGCAGCAAGAAAAAGGCGGTGGACAGGAGCCAGGCGATTGTGAAGTGGGCGGGAGGAGAAGCTGCCTCGACGGGCGTGTCGGCCGCCATGGTTGCTGCTGGAATCACGACATTGGTCGCACCCACTGTAGCGGTGAGAGAGAGAGAGAGAGAGAGAGAGAGAGGCATGCCGATGCTGTAGTGGTGGTTGCACTACGCTGCTGCTGTACGCTCTGCTGTCCAACCGAACCTATTTATTCCTCCCAACCTGCACCGCGGAAGAAGCGTCCGGTTTACGACAACAAGGCAACTGCGTCCTGCCGCTCTGTGGTGCTGTAATACCTTAATATTCTCCCACCCCCTCATTGCAATCAATTCTGGGCCGATTGAGTTGTGATTGGGCGGGCCCACGTGATGCCTGCCACCTTGCCACTCTTGGACTCTCCCTACAAGTCCTTTTGTAGCGCTTGGTTCTCCCAAGAACCATCCTGCACCTCGACCTTATGATTGATATGGGTGGGACGGGTTTTAACCAAAGGACAGTTTGCTTCACGGCTCCAGCGCTTGATCATGTGAATATCCGTCGCAGCTGGTTGTCTTGGTCGTACAGGGGGGGTTGTGCGAGAAGCGATTCAAGTCGAGAAACAGGCATTGCGAAGGGCATCGATATGTAGGGATTGGGAGGGGGGGGGGCGTGCTAACATACATATTTTATTGAGAGTCGCGCGCTGCCGAAAGAGAGTCTGCTCTGTCATGACATAATTCCAGTGACAAATCTTGCGAGCATATCCGATCAAAACCAGGAACGCAAGGTCGTTCAGACGCGGTAAATATAGGGTTGGGTACTGGCGCTGCGCGCCAGTAAACTGGATCCGATCAGTACACTGGTGGCGCGGCGAAGCCGCGCGGGC